GAGATTGGCGTTAACAAAAACTCACCCGCGAATTTTGAAACTGGTTAATAACATGCAATTTCAACCATTGCATTAAATTATTAAACAATTTAAAATAAAATTATAGTAAAAAAACTAATTTCGTTGTTTTTTAATTACCTTATTAAAAATGCCTTTTTCAATTGTATCGGGGTCGCGGGACACTTGGCTTTTATAAAAAGGGGTTGCCACCTGAAAAAGGTTGGGAACCATTGATATAGAAAATAATTATTGTAAATGTAAGAACATTATGTTCTGTATGTTTAAAATATGCAATGTTTTGCATATTTTAAACATAAGGAACATACACTGCAAGGAATTTGTTGCAAAATGGTATTTTTTAAAGTTTTTCCCAAATTTAAAATCAGATTATTTATATTATATATAATAGTACAGTAGAACCTCCATTATCCGGACTTCCATTATCCGGATTTTCGATTATCCGGATTGTTCAAAATAAACAAAAATTTTACAAATTTGCTGATTTGCACTTGGCGAATTACGACACTGTTTATGTACGTGATGGAATGCATAACTTTTTTTGTTTCAACAACGTCTCACCCAGAACAGTGGTCGTAAACTCTTAAATATATTTTGCGTCGTAATAAAAATATAACTTGACATACGTATTTATAAATAATTTATATTCAAATTACATCATTTCTATGACCAAGGGCGGCGTAAGGCATGGACGACGTGGGCCACTGCCTATGCCTCGCGCCTCGAAGGTTTATGCATTACTTAAAAGCCGTGAACGCGACGAAAAAATTTTACTCGTCATAAAACGATAAATAGTTTNAAAAATGATATAGAAATGAGTTTATAAACATGTTATTTTTTCAATTTATAGATAAATTAACCAAAAAGTAGCTTAAGGGCAAATAGTATAATAAATTTTTTAATGATATTTTTGATCATTTTACTTTATTAATTATTATAAGATACCTTGTGCATATAAGCTAAATGTGTATAAGTTTATGAAATTTGTAATATAACATGCAGCCTCATGAGATCACATTGAAATGAGATATTGCTTTTTGTATAAAAGAAAATTCTCCAGCCTTAACATAGTACATTTTTTAAAAGTTATGAATGAATTAAAAAGAAAGAAAATCAAGCTGAAAAAATGTACAAATATTAATCACATAGGTAACCTTTGCTTTATTCTAGTAGAACATTAAGAACAACCAACTCAAGCTGTTTGAAAACATCAAATATGTGATAGAATAAGCATTTTAAATGGAACACATTTGTAACTGACATGAAGCAGGGCAGTCAAGATGTTTGAAAATGCATATGTCATTTTTTAAAGAATAAAAGTGAGTTCCTAACTTCCTAAAAGTTTTGCTGTGAGCCCGTCTACCAAAATTTTTGGATTACAGAGATGAATTATATACATAGTAACATACAGCAGTCCAGATACAGAATGTTTGTTGTTGTTAATGTTCTACTGGAATAAAGTAAAGGTTCTTTATGTGATTAATATTTATGAATGAATGTAACTTATACTAACTAGAAATTTTTGGATGTATTGACTAAATTAAATTTCTCAACTTTCTTAATACATACAGTTCTTTCTGTTTTTTGGAGATCAAGATAAAAAATTCCAGTAAACCTTATTAATTTCAAACTGTCACTATGATTTTGATACCTATGTGAGGATGGGCTAGAAAGCTTAAGAAAAGTAGTAGGGCTTCAGTGAACTTTTTCATTTTGATTTAAAAAAAAAAGAAGGACAGGGAAGAGAGAGGGGGGACTGTTGTGTTTTGGGTATATTTCACATCAACATTTTATAGAATATAAAAATAATTATTAGCTAATTTTTAAGGAATATATTATTCTACTGCTTTCTAATATTTTAACTACTGAATTTGTATAAATGAAGCTTTGCATTATGTAAGGTAGGCCAGTAGAATATAGTATAAAAGAATTAAATCATATTATAATAGTAGAGTGATTTTTTTAAGACAATAAAGAATCACTTTCTTTACTAGAAAAATTAGGAATTGATATGATTTTACTCAAGATATTCTTGCATCTGACATATAGGGGCTACATCAAGGAAACTAGAACATTAAAATAAGTTATTGCACAGCAAACAGATAATAGAATTATCTAGATGAGCCTTTTCGTTTTCACTTTAGAGAGAAACACAGATATAGGCATCTGTGTAATAATCAGAAATTGCTTTACAAATGACTAACAACTCCACTTTATAACTCCTAGGGTATTTGGGTAGTTCTTTATAAAGTTCTTAATTGAGATGCTTGTATAAAAATATTTTTTTTTTTTTTTTTGTATATAAATAAGATTTTAATCTATTTATTTTGTTCTTTCAAAATGAAAATCTTATCATAATGTCACTGTGTATTCAAATTTTCAAATTTGTTCAAATTTTGTTCAAAAAAAACAGAATTTGAAAAAATTCTGTTAACATTCTGTTCAATTAACTTCATCTGAAGATGACAGGTATAAATTACAGTAGCTGTCAAAAGTACAAATCATTAATGTTAATTTTAAAGTTATTAAAATTTTGTTAATGTGGAAAAGCAGGGTTAATTTTATTGTATAATATTTGACATTGAGTACCAAAGAATATCTTACTTGTTAGTTAAGATAATAATTACAAAACAAAAAGTATCATGCATAAAAATTTCAAAAATTTATTAACAAAATATTTTTTAAAGCATTATTTACAAGTTTATTAACTCCTAAACATAAAACTCATTATAATCTGGCATAACATAAAAGTTTTTTTTATATACTTCTTTGTTGTAACTTTGTATTATTTTTTATAATGATATATTTTATTATAAAACAATGTTATAAATGAACAAGATTATTTCCAATATGGCAATATGAAACAGTTAAAATCAATATCTTTTTATTCTGGAGTGTATTATTTTATTGATAGTTCAAAAATAGGTTATTTTTATTTCTTCTATTTCTGGAGATACATTGATAATATCCAGTTAGAATGAATATTTTTATCATATCAGTAGTAGTAAATATATTTTTATAAGTATGAAAAAAGTATTAATGAAGATGTGAAGCAGCTGATTTTTACCTTTAATAATAATCAAGAATTAATAAATAGCATTTAAATTTTGGAATGATTTAAACTTATGATTTAAAATAAAAATTTTGTTGTTTTTTAATTAAATACTTAAATAATTTAATAATAAGAAATTCTTATGTAACTAACAAACAATTTCTTATAAATATTAAAATAATAAATAAATAAACTGTTTCTAATTTTTCAGATATTTTTTTATATTGTAATGGATTATGACTTCAAAGTTAGAACGGCTTCAGAGAGAGAGAAAGTTGAAGATTTGTTCGAGTATGAAGGGTGTAAAGTGGGAAGAGGGACATATGGTCATGTTTATAAAGCAAGAAGAAAAGATGGGTTAGTTTTATTTAAATAGAAAAAAATATATGCATGCTTAATCTTGAAATTGAGCTTTTATATGCTTGTTCATTATCATTGCTGAATGTTCTAAATTTAATATTTATTTTCAAATTGTCTCAATTAAAATTAAATTGATTTTTTACCTATACTATTTAATAATTACTATAATTTTTATTCTCATCACTGAGAGCTGGCTTGCAAACAACATTGTGGATATTAAAAATATGATTACCTCAAATGGTTTTAATTGTGTGTCTGTTCTAGAACTAATGCTTGTGGTGGTGGTGGTGGTGGTATACTGTTAGTTTACTGCCCCTCATTTCAATTTGTTCTTGTTGATTGCTTTGTTTGGTGGTGGTGGTGGTGGTATACTGTTAGTTTACTGCCCCTCATTTCAATTTGTTCTTGTTGATTGCTTTGTTCTTATGTTTTGTTTGTTTTTGGCATCTATTTTCTGTTAGGTACACACAATGCTGATTTTATTTTAACCTCTAGGACTATATTTTGTTAGATGTGCTTAGTTGCATCAGAGGGCATGGACATTGTCACTTTAATACCTTTGTATATTGAAGTCATGGACTCCTAATTTTTATATTTAAATGGATGCTCATTACATTATTGGATTTCTCATCACAATTAATGGAAAATGGCAAAGTTTTATCAAAATCGGTCCATTAAATTTTGAGAACAAACTCAATTCTATAAGCCCATAGAAGAGATGCTAGCAACTGTAAAATATTTCATGATTTTGTCATGTGATTCATGCAATATCACTTTGTCACATACTCTCATGCAACAACCTTATATCTGAAGAACAAAGTCGTGGGCCCTTTTTTTATTACATTTTTTCATTCCTCTTCACAATTAATGGAAAATGACAAAGTGTAATCAAAATCAATCAAACAGATTTTAAGAATGAACACAATTCTCTAAACCATATAAAAGAGGCTTCGCTAATGCTCTACCTCAAATTTGATTTATTTATATATATATAAATAAATAATATACATTATGGTTAAGCTGTCATCTACAAATTAATAATTAGATTGATTATAGAATTAAATTAAATTCTATTAATGTTTAAATTGTATTAATCTTAATACAAGATTAATACAATTTAAATATTAATACAAGTCTACTTTTGCACCAAATTATTTAGTTTGATTAATATAACATCAACAAAGCTGAAATAATAATTAAAGTAATATTTCTTTAATTATTATTGCATGTAACTGGAAAGAAGTAAGAAGCAAGAGGTATTATTTTAGTTTCATTAAATAAAGTTTAGTTGGATTAGAGCCTGAAAAATCCATTGATTAGATATTCAGTTATAAAACTTTATTAATTTATTATTTCTTAATTATTATGATCTATATCAGGGATGGCCAACACGTAGACTGTGGTCGACCGGTTGACCGCAAAGGTTTTGCAAGTAGCTAAAGTTGAACAATTTGCTTTCACTTAAATTAATGTTTAAAAACCTTAATTCAATAATTTCTTCTTACAATATAGACTGTCTGTGCAACATACCCATACTGTTTGTATTTATCCCGATGAACAATGCAAATGAATGTTAACGCATGCACATATAAAAAATCCTAAATCCGTGATTAATAAAAATTTTATTATTTTTATTAATCACGAATCCCAAAAAGGCAAATGAAAAGCGACAGAAAACTAAAAAAGTGACTAGAATTACAATGGAACTGATGAAAGAGATTGTTGAGAAATACGAAGGTGGCATGCGTGTTCCAGATTTTAACTGTTGTTTACTGTATTCCGAGAACGACGATATGGACAATCGCAAAAAATAAAGACATTATTAAATCTGCTAACGTTGCGAAAGGGGTTAAATCAATTTCTAAACAGAGATTGAAGACATTAGATCATGTCGAGAAATTGCTTTTGCTTTGGATAACTGAAAAACAGTGCTGGAGACAGCGTATCGGACAGCGTATGTTTGCCCATATTCATAGTCGCCCGCAGACTATATTTTACCAAAAAAGTAGCCCCTATGGGATAAAAGCTTGGCCACACCTGATCTATATTATAATAGTTGTGTCAATAAAATAGCATTACTTAACTGAATTTACAAAATTACACCAATAAGTTACTTATAAAAATTAAGAATTATAATCAAATAAATTCAGCAATATTGGCTTTTAAAATATTGAACTTTGTATATAATTATATAGAATATTTAAAATTTTGTTATAATTATTTTTTATTGAAATTTTTAGTTAAAAAAAAACATTTAAAATGTTTAAATCTTTTAGTTCTGATCCTAAAGATTATGCCTTGAAACAAATTGAAGGAACGGGTATATCAATGTCAGCATGTAGAGAAATAGCGGTATGTTATTATTTATTCATTTTCTATTTTATATCCTATTATAAAACTGTAGACATGATTTTAATACAATTTAAAATCTCAATATTTAGTTTCTATTTCTATTTTATGCAAGTTTTTAATAATTGATTAAGGATGTAAGCTTCATAATTATTAATTATATATAAAATGCATAAGTTTGATAAGATCAACAATTTTATCACTGCACAAAGTGAAAATATATATTTTAGACATTTGATAAGAAAATATGAGTTATATGATTAAAATTAGAAATAAAATACAGTGGAACCTCGGTGTATGTCTGCTTTAGAATACGTCCTGTTTGGACGAAACAAATTTTGCTCGGTATACGACATAATTCAATTATACTCGTCATCAATGAACAAGTAGCAGTATCGGTGTACTAGACCAGACTAGACGTTCGTGGTGCAACGGTTTATAACTTTGTTTAATTTCTTCTGATTTTAATTCGTAAGTAAAATTTTATTATTTTTATTAATCACGAATCCCAAAAAGGCAAATGAAAAGCGACAGAAAACTAAAAAAGTGACTAGAATTACAATGGAACTGATGAAAGAGATTGTTGAGAAATACGAAGGTGGCATGCGTGTTCGAGATTTTAACTGTTGTTTACCATATTCCGAGAATGACGATATGGGCAATCGCAAAAAATAAAGACATTATTAAATCTGCTAACGTTGCGAAAGGGGTTAAATCAATTTCTAAACAGAGATCGAAGACATTAGATCATGTCGAGAAATTGCTTTTGCTTTGGATAACTGAAAAACAGTGCTGGAGACAGCGTATCGGAAGCAATTATTTGCGAGAAAGCTAAAAAGATACACGCTGATCTCACGAAAAATCAAGCAGGAACTAGCCAGGAAAGCGAGGTGTTTAAAGCCAGCCATTTTTTTTACACGAGAACGGATTAATCATTTTTACATTACTTCTTATGGGAAAGGTTGGTTTGGTATACGTCCAATTCAGTATAAGTCCAAACATCGGGAACGGATTAAGGTCGTATACAGAGGTTCCACTGTATTTATATTAAAAAAAAAAATATTTACAAAATGTTATCCATAAGCATAAAATAAACAGTTTAATACAATATATTTTGATATTTAAGCTTAACTAATAAATATATGAAATGGTCACAATTAACTTAGACCACTAAGATAAGTTAACATTGTAATTTAATGTTGTTTCAAGATTTGGATTTATAACTGGTTGACAGACTGAACATTTTTGTTAGATCATTCAATTATAACTTGTTTTGTCCTAAATAATACCTGTTTTTTTTTTTTTTTTTTTGACTANTTATTTATCGTTTTTGTTCCAAGTGCAAAATTATCGTACAAAATAATTTTCATAATTTAAAATACAATTTTTTAACTTTTAATGTACTTATTATAAAAATGTTTAAAACATTTATAAGAATTTAAATAATTTATACAGTAAAGCCACCAGTTTTTATCCATCTTAATTTTTAATCTTGTTATATTAAATTAAAATGTTTATTAAGAATTTTAAAATATAAATGTTTATTATTTTTATTTTTCCATTCATTGTTTTGCTTATGGCCAAAAATGTTCCATCTCTTAGTAATTTTATTGTAGTTTACAATAACAATATGGAATTTAATGTTTCACATTTCATCATTAAATAGATGATGAGAAATAATTGATATAATTAATTTTAAAACTGTTAATAAAATTTTTAAAAACATTTATTCAGTGCAGGCTTCAGACTTCTAGATCTCATGCATTACAGGGTTCTGCAAAGCCTAGTTATACTGTTATATGTACCATAGTCATTTATTCATAAATTTGTAAATTATCTGAATCTAAATATATAAAAATTACTCTAATTATAGTTTATTATTTTAATTTTTAGGCATCATTAAGAAATGTTTTTGATATAGTTAATGGTCTGAATTATGTCAAATTGTTACACATAGCAGGCAAAAGATTTAGATGTAAAGTAAAATGCTTGGATGCAATACTCTCCAGATTAGGACCAAAGAGAGCATGCAGATTGATTATTGACATTTTATGATGCTATAATTATTAAAAGAGATTTTTACAATTCAAGTGTTTTTAGCTTTTAAATATTGTCTTTTCTTAATAGATGAGAAATAGAAACTAATTCTTAATTGCTTTTAGCCCTTATTACACATTTGTAATACTCCATTCATAAAAAATTTCTAACTATCGTTTGATCTTCATGCATTCTTTGGGTGTAGGTATAATATTGTAAAATCATTAAAAGATTTAACTTTTTATTTTCATCTACTTGTATCTGTAGATGGCAGAATCTTAGCCATCTCCTTAAATCTCCTTTTGTACCATTGTTTTTAGTTATTGCGAGAGCTTAAACATCCAAATGTAATTAATCTCCAACGGGTATTCTTGTCTCATACTGATAGAAAAGTGTGGTTACTGTTTGACTATGCTGAACATGATTTGTGGGTAAGATTCATTTATATTTTTTTTTAATATTTAATATTAGTTTATGTTATAATGTTATAATGCATCTACAGCATATCATCAAATTCCATAGAGCAGCCAAGGCAAATAAAAAACCAGTTATTGTGCCAAAAGGAATGGTAAAATCATTATTATATCAAATTTTAGATGGTATCCATTATTTGCATTCCAATTGGGTCTTACACAGGGATTTGGTAAGTGAATGTAACAGATAATTAGATTGTCAATAAAGAAAATCAAATAGTTTTAATAGTAATTTTATTTCAGAAACCAGCTAATATTCTTGTCATGGGAGAAGGTCCTGAAAGAGGAAGAGTTAAAATTGGTAAATTATATTGTAGTATTAGATTTGAAATAAAAAAAGTCATTGATTTAATCTATTCTTACTTTTTTTTAGCGGACATGGGTTTTGCACGCCTCTTCAACTCTCCATTAAAACCTTTAGCTGATTTAGATCCTGTAGTTGTAACTTTTTGGTATAGAGCTCCAGAATTATTATTAGGAGCAAGACATTATACCAAAGCTATTGGTAATTATACTCATTATGAATGTTATAGATTTAGCTTATTTTTTATTTTTTTAAATTACTTTAAACTGAGTTTGTCAACATTTCCAATTTTGTTGTCGAAAAGTTATTATACTGTATGTGTATATATATATTAAATTAATTAATTAATTAAAATATAATATTAAAATATATATACAATATATATTTATTATATTAAAAATATAAAATAAATTAATTAAAATATTAATATATTACATAATAAATAAATTAATAAATTTTTAAAATAATAATGCCAGATTTCTTTTCATAAACTATAGATGATAATTTTCAAAATTTTAATGTGATAACTGAAATCATTTTACTATGTTAAATTTTTAAGCAGAGTAAAGAACAATGTTCCCTCTAATTTTTTTTGTAGATGAGCGGAACATATACTTCTCTGAGCAAAAAAAACGTTTTTGCTGAGCAGATTCTGAGCAAAAAAATTTTCTGAGCATATATTTATAAAATCTTATTTTTTCCTATAAAAATTAAATTAATTATAAAGTAGAGATTAAAATTCATTTTAAAACATACTTTTATACAAAATATTATCTTTTGTCAATGATTTAATGTATTTAATCGAAATATATGCAGCAATAATCATGTTGCAGATAGAGTGAGAAATAAGTAAACAACAATTCAAATCGGTGTGCATGCTCGCCTGCGCGGCACATAAATTCTCGTGTGCGGAAACAATTTGAGCAGTGCGCAGCCGTGCAGCTTAGAGGAAACATTGGTAAAGAATCCTTAGCTGTTGTTTTATGAAATATTTTAATGCTCATCTAAAATTCAATGACATATCTTATTTAAATCTTTAGATAGAACAACTTGCTGTAAATTTACAGCTTTTTATGTAAAAAATTATCTATAGACAAATATGATCAAAGTTTATGATTTGATTCTTATAAACTAATATTTTAATATTTTAAAGTAATTAATAAATAAACTACTCAAAATTTCAGTTGTATAAGAAATTGTTATCTGATATAAAAAAAAAATAATCTTATTACTTAAAATTAAATGTTTAATTTTATATTATTGATAAAATACAGAATTTTTTTATTGTATAAAGTTAATTTTTTACACAACTTAAATATTATAAAATTTAGATAATTATTATTTTAAAGGAAAAATAAAAATATATGAACTTTTTTTTAAGTGGTATAAGTCTATGTTTAGAAAAAAAAAGTGAGTTAATGATAGTTTTTGTGAGGCATAGATGTCCTCTTTTTATATTTATAACAAAGTCAATGGTATACAATATTCTCATAAATTAATCAAAAGAAGTTTAACTGTAAAATGTTATCTCAAGAATTTTTTTTTTTTTTAAAGTGAAATACCATAAGTCCGTTCATAATAATTAATAATTGAAACAACTTTTTTAAAGTCTTTATAATGGATAATAGCTAATGCTAAGTGTAAAGGAAAAATAAGATTGAAATATGAATACATTTGTTATTATTAGTTATCTTAACAAAGTAATTTACTTTTCATAGTTGTTTATTTATAAATTCTTATATTTTATGACTAAAGATATTTCTTAATGAAATTGATTATTTGTTTACTGACATGTTCTCATTTTAATTATTATTTTTTACATTAAAAAAATACATTTCAGAAAAGTCAACTTCAATTAAAATATAAATTTAAAATTGTTATTGTTCATATTTTTCGTGATTTATTATTATTGAAAGTCTATATGTAGCTTAAAAAATTTTTTATTTTCTTTACAATTTTATTAATTATTATTACATAATAAAATTTAACAAGTTTATAGCTTTAAAAACATTACCCAAATTTATTAATGTTTGACAATATTTTTTTGTTGATTCAAATGCAAACTCTTAAATATCTCTCAATGTTTGAAAAATGGACTTATACACCACTTTCAAAAGTAATGGCTCATATATTAAAAAATAATTTAATTAGATATTAATTTAAAAATTTTTATTAATTAGATATTTGGGCCATTGGATGTATTTTTGCTGAACTGTTGACATCAGAACCAATTTTCCATTGTCGGCAGGAAGATATCAAAACTAGTAATCCATATCATCATGATCAGTTAGATAGAATTTTTAATGTGATGGGTTTTCCACTTGGTATGATATTTAGTGAAATATATTTATAATGTATCATTATGTACTAAAAGATTAAATTGAATATGCTCTATAAATTATAGAGAAGGATTGGGAAGATATCAAAAAGATGCCAGAACATCCAACGCTTCTCAAGGATTTCAAACGTTCCAAGTAAATAAAATTTTATTTACTACGTTTCAACTTGATTTCAAAAAGATACAGTGGTACCTCAAGATACGAATGCCCCAGCATATGAAATTTTCAGGATACGACATGAAATTCGAACATATTTTTGATCCACAATACGAACAAAAACTCACCATGCAATGTTACATTAGTTCGCAGCGCCATTTTTTATTCACTTCTGTTCATCGGTCTCAGTCTGCCTGTTTGCTTCGTCGTGGAAGGATCTCGCTCAATAAAGGAAATCTTGAAGTATTATCAGAAAGTGACTGATTTTATTGAAAAGAAACACCCCGAAAAGGTTCACACTGGCCGTATTGCTGCTCGGAGTAATGACATTTGCCTAAGTCATTTTAGAAAAATTTTAAAAAGTAGGCAAAGCCAAACCTCTTGGATAGATATTTTACCAAGCAACCTCTATCCAATGAAAGTGCTGGTGGAAATAAAGGAAAGAAAGCAAAAAACAGTGAAAAAATAACTANATTTTTATGGATTTTTCAAAATTTAACTTTATCAGATAATAAATAACATTTGAAGGGTTCAAGTGTAAAGATGGTAAGTGCTGTAATGAAAGTTTAAAGAAAATATAAAAATTAAATGTCTTAATTAAGAAGTTTTCTTCTTTGTTTAATTTAATTAGAATAAAGTCCACATTCTAGTTAAAAAGTACATGTACATATAATATTTAAATTGAAATACATTGCTGTTTAGCCATTAGCACATTTGCAACATACTGATGGAAGCTTTTTTGCTGTCTTTTACATCCGAACCCTTCACTTTGCACCAGCCCTTTGAGATGTGCAATTTTCTACTAATTAACAATTTAAGAGAGGAAAATCAGAAAATAGGTACAGGAGACTTCAATGTTTTAAAATGCAATAAAATCTGGATGAATAGACAAAGTGCTTCTCAGATTTCTGATAAATAATTTACATGACAATTTTATCACATATCAAAAGAGATTCATAAAAGCCAAATTGTTTTACAGATGAAGTGGCACAAAATTACTAGGTTTCAGGAATGTTTTAAAGAGAAACTGATTGCGAATATACACTAAATTTATCACGTGTGATGGAATGTTTGTTTTGAAATTACAAGAATTTACAGATTGTGAGTTTTGTTAATAGAACAATACAGTGTAACTTTTTTTAAATGAGCATGTATACAGTCTTAACATTTCTATACATAAATATATACAAAAGTCAGTGTAACATATATTGCTAAGTAGATCCCTTCCAAATTACATTGTTCCTTATAAAAAAAAATTTATTTCTAAAAATATAGATTTTGGCATTTCATTTACAATTTTCATATGCTAATTTTATAGACAATGTATAGAAAAATATAATTTTTGAAACATTCAGAAAATTACAATAAAAATATACTAACTACAACCTTTTAAAAGTGATGATTTCCATAACGAGTGAATTTTTTAGCATTAAAAATGCTATACTATAACAAAAAATGTTCAATTATAAAAATATAATTGTAGTATAATTACAATTCTAATCTCAGAGTTGCATTAACTCTAAGAGATTAGAGTGAAGTCATTGCTGGAGGTCTTGCATAGGCCTTGGGAATGAAACCATACTTTCTTGTTTTTGGAGCATAGGCCCACAACCATCCATCTACCGTCTGATTATTCAGGTCAGCATATACCCAATCGCCTCTCCTCATACTCAGATCGTCCGGCGCCTGAGCTTTATAGTCGTACAGCATGACAAGTTCGCTACCGTGGAAACGTAAATCGTCCGAAGGGGACGCATTTGCATGATGATTGTTATTTCCGGTCACCGAAGAGTGGGTTGTGCTATTTTGACCTGTCGTTTGTGGATTTACGTGATCTATAATTCAAAAATTTAAAGAAAAATATATTAATATCAGCTTGAAATGGAAAAAAAATAAATTTGTCAAGAATCATGTTATTAGTCTAAAAGAAAAGATAATTTATAAAAGCATCATATATAATTAAATTAGAATATAAAAAGATTAATTGACGTTTCAACAAAAATATTGAGGAAAAATAATGCTTTAGTGAATATTTCCCAGTGTTAAAGTTTTTCCGAACAGCATCATTAAGAAATTCAACAATAGTCAATGACCAACAAGGCAAATCATTTCTATTTGTATTTGATAATGATTCAATAGAATGCTATTGATGCATGACAATTTTTTTCTTTATAGTCACTATAATTACTTAATAATTATATTATATAAACAATTACTATAATTTAAGTACAATTTATAATGAAAAATTATGCTAGCTGACAAGTGAGATGCTAATTCACTGCAAACAAATGTGGATAAGTTCAATGTTCCATTTTTAGAGCAACCACATTATGTCAGTTCATAAACTAGCATAAAATTGAAGCACATTGTTATGTAAGGAATTTAAAGTTCAGAAAGAAGAATGTCATCTGAGCAACTGAACAATATAATTTCCTTTTAAAAGAATACAGTTATGCATGTGCATTGCCATGGCGATGCACATGCATTTTTATTTGAATAATAAAAAAAACAATAATATGATTTCATTTATATTTTCTGTTTTTTTGTTGTTTTTTGTTTTAAACTTCATTTTCAAATTTAATATTATATGAATGGAACAAAAATTTTATAATTTAAAATATTCATAAACCAAGTCTTATAGATAACAAGAAAAAAGAAAATTTTTATAAATCTGAATATTCATGAAGCCTTAATATTATCTAAGATATAAAATATTAGGCTTTACATAGGTGTTTAAAATTCATCTTAAAGGCTGATAATTTGGTAATATGAGCCAAATCAGCACAAACAGTAGTTTGAAACAAGTTGCATTAGTAATATTGGAGTAGGTGGTGCTTTATTCTGATTTCAGCTTTATTGAGCATGATTAGGATATTTTTTAGAGGTAAGAGGAAATAAAGAAGAAATGAAGAATAGCAATTTTTTTTTATCTCTGTAGAGAAAAAATAGGAAATTAAAAATGTCTTCATGGAATGGTGTATACTAGCGGTCCCCAACCTTTTCATCGCCGCGGGCCGGTCAACGTTTGATATTTTACCGCGGCCCACTGAGGGGGGGACGTTGATTGTTTATATTTTAGATTGATTCAATTTAATAATTTTAATTGTATTTAAACATGCCTTCAAAATAAAATATAGTTACACCAAAAAATGAATATAATATGATTTAACATTTTAACTCACTAGAACGTTAAATCAATGAGAACCCTGAGCTTGTTTCTTTGCAACAAGACGGTTCCATCTGGGGGTAATAGGAGACAATAACACCCGAAGTGTGTTTCTTATGTCCAGTTTATACCGTTGTTCCGTCGTCCATTAATTAAAAGTCGCACAAACCCGAGAGAAATACACCATAGTAAATAAAATGGAAATACCAGTACTGTAACTTAATGTTCCTTGGGCGGCCCGGTACCATTTGATCCACGGACCGGTACCGGTCCGCGGCCCGGGGGTTGGGGACCACTGCGTTATACGATCATATCAAGAAGTGCAACTGTAAAGAAAAACAAAATTGCTGACAACTGGGATAGAAAATTAGGCACTTGGGCATAAGTAACATGAAAAAACTAATTGATTTATCAAGTGGAATAAACCTGACTAAAACTGATTATGACTCATTAATTCAGTTTGTGAAATATGTTTAATTAATTAAAAACAAGACTGACTGGACTCCCATTTAAACTAAACGATGAAGAGACATAAGACCTCTTGCAGTCCAATTGAACTAGACACGTAAAATGGAAATAAATATGTTTTGACTATGCTGGAAGATTTTCAGTCATTTTTGTATTGTATATCTTCTCAAGAATAAAAGTGAAGTGCTCGAATACATCAGCGAATATGTCACTCAAGTAGAAGTGTACATTAATCTAAAAGTATCAAAATTACGTTGTGACAATGGTGTAGAATATGGCGGCGATAAGATAAGACATTGGTAAATCAAAAAGACTACATAATGCCATACATTCCACAATTGAATGGACGAGCATAGAGATTAAACAGCACATTAGAAAAGGCGAAAGCTCTCATTTTTTATTCTAACTTGAACAAGGAAGTGTGGGAAAAGCAATAAATGAAGCATATCTTATAAATAAAAGACCCACAGAGACTGTAGACACAACATCGAAAAATGGACAANGCTTCAAAAATTACTTCTAATGGATCCCACGAAAAGAATTACTTCTGAATTAGCTATGCAAGATTCCTATTTTCAAGAAGAACCATTACCTACACAAGAGTATATTACTGTTTTTATATTATGAAATTCAAAACAATTTTGGATATCTAATTTTCAGTTTTTGTTTTTAGTGTTTTTGCTGGTTATCCAATTCCTTATCCAAAGAGAGAATTTTTAACAGATGAAGAACAGGAAGACAAGTCCGACACTAGCAAGGTTGTTATTCGTGTTTTTGTCATTACTATTTTAATTATGCTAAAATTTATAATAATTTTTACTAATAAAATTTAAATAATTCAATATGTTAATTTTCAAAGTGGTATATTAAAAGCGAGTCTTACAGACAACTGCAGCGAATAACCAAGGCAATCAAGATAATGCCAACCATGGTCCGAGTGCCAAACGGGTAAGAATGGTACCCCCACCGCCCACAACCTCGACTACCTCGACCACACAGGTAACAATTGTTGCAATACAAAACAATTTTTCAATGAAATTTCAAGAAATTAAGAGACATTCTTTATTTTAGTCTCATGCAATGGGAGGAAGTGGTGTACAACAGAACCAACCTACTCTCTCTTTCACTGCCGCTAACAATCCCCAACAGTCTGGTTTTCCACAACATTTCTGACGTCCGACAAAAGATATATTATTTTTAATTCTAATCTATTGAAAAGAATGTTGTGCAGATAATTTTATTGACAGAAAAAATTTGAATATAAATTGCATGAACAAAATACTGTAGTAGATACATGTAAAAAAATGTATGTATAATATGTATATTAAATGTTATATTGTTTCCAATAAATATTCTATTGTTCAGTATTCAAAAATATTATGCTTAGATCTGTTATCCTTCAAATGATATAAAATTTTCCATTTACATCAATGACTCATGTCTAATTTTGTAGATGGAATAACTAATAGATAAATAATTCAATCAAATCCAATATGCTTAAAACATATTGAATTTGACCAATATGTTTTAAGGATTTGAACTTAACCAAGTTTCCAAATATTTTCTGCTTCTGTACATGCTAAACATTTACATTTAGCACTGTATAAAAGAAGTTGAAAAGCATAATTTTCATGTTCTATACTTTTCATCATTTTCTGCTCTTTTTCGAAAAGCAGAAATTCAAGTTGAAATATTTAGAAATACAATCAATTGATTATTCCTTCCTTTTTGCCTATTTCTTAAAGATTGAAATAAGAATACACAATAGAAATCATTAAGAAGGAAGACACATTAAACATAGATACTGTAATACAGTGGAACCTGATTAACTCAAAGTCATGTTTACTCGAAGTCATTTTCTTTTTCCAATCATCTAGCATAACATGTTAAATCAAACTGATTAACTCAAAGTCTGAATGTTTTATCCCTGACAGATTCGAGTTAATCAGCTTCCACAGTATAATATCAACAAACTATTTATGTATATTTATCTATGTTTCCACATTTTATGGCAACTTGTATTGCATTATTACTTTAACAATTTCATATAAATTACTTATTTTTTTAAATTAGATGCAAAGAAACTGGAAAATAGTGCACAAATTAAAGCTTTTTGAAATGAAAAATTTCTTGGTAATTATCAAAATATAAATTTTTATATAATACTATTTAATTTATTTAAAAAAATTAAGACCAAGTTATTTAATCCCTCAATATTACAAAATTGTTTATCCAAAAATATTCATAATATACAATTAATAATTGTCTTTGTAAAACAGGTTTAGGCAATTTCTTAAAAACAAATTAATTCCTATTTAAATATATAGTAACTAAATGTGAAAGTGTTAAATTTATAAAATTTAATTTTCATGTTATTTTATGACTGATAAAAAAAATGCATGGTACAAATGCTCATAGATAATTTTTTATCAGTCAAAAAAACCAAAAAATTTAAAAGTATGTAAATCTTTTACTTTCAAATAATAATAATAATGTGCAGAAATCCAAAACAAATAATGTTTTGGATTTCTCGCCAGGAGTTTTATTATTTTTATTTCTATAAAATGGTACTAATTCAATATTAATATTGAATTTTTATTATAAGTGAATATTTGATGCAAAGAAAAAAAAAAGTTCATAAAAATTTGATAAAGGAAGTATTTCAAATTTCAAAACAAACCAAAAAAAAACACTACAGGGTTCATCTATTTATTAATTACATCTATAGTTTTTGAGTTATCCCATTGTGTACAATAACATACTTTTGGCAAACCCTCCTCCATGCAATTGTATGTACAGTAGTTCATTGACTTCCAACATTGAATAAACCACTTAAAGGTTCTGCAATAATTTTCTGATAGTGTATTCATGACAAGTAAGTAGGCTTATAAGAACAAATTTGTATGCCACTGATACTACTAAAAGTCCACAGACAATGCATTGACCCTTCCTTCCCTCCATCATGTGCAATATACTTTTTTCAATGTAATTAATGGATTGCACCACACATTTTGATAAAAATTGAGACAGTAACAAACTAATTTTTTCATTATTATTTTGCATTGCAAGTGGAGATCCGCAATGGATTTATTCAGATAACCAACTACTGAAATAACGATCTAACTGGATTGATAAGGATTTTGGCCTATTTTTCAGCTAGAATGTCTTGTGGCAGAAAGATATTTTTAATCCTTTAAGTTAGTATACGTTCATAAACATTTAGTTCTGAATAAGAAAAAAGTATTTCTACCAAATTTTAATAAATAAAAATAATTGATGTAGACATGTTTTCTCTGAAATGGAAAGAGATCAACTATTGTGATCTCTTTTCCATTTTAGAGAAAAATCATTAATGTCTTTTGCTGTTTGTTCTGTGTTTTTTTAGTTTATTTTTTTATAAGAGACCAAAATCTTTCTATTGGTTGGCATCATGGTATGTTTGATAGATCTGTATGTAGGCACAAAATCAATTTTTTGCTGTTCCAGCCAACTTACTGTAGAATTTGCTTTGTGTATTGTTGTCAAATATGGCCAAAATAAAGTATGGCCACCATGATTTCTTAAAAAGGAAAACGGCATTTTTTTTAAACGTTCATTAATATAAATTTCAGCACTAATATATCCTTTTGTCACAAACAAGATTTTTCGATTCATCCTGGAAAATTGCTTGCCATAGTAGATATTTTAAGCCATTTTCAATACTAATATTTGAGATTCTGGGAGAACTTCTTCAAACACTGTATAATAGCATGAGCCCAGAAGTGTTGAGAAGTCAATGAAACATGCATGAAGGCTAACACCAAACAAGCATTCTTCTTGCTAATTAAAGAATATAATTTTCAGTTTTAATTACCTCCTTTTGCTTTTTACATGATTTCATATTTGCATACTGCTTAGCTTTTTGAACCATTGTTTAGTTTCACATTTTTTTTTTTTTGCCACATTTCTCACTGATAATCAATGCCATTTCCAAAAATTGCAGTTTATCTTCTAGTTGAATTGTGAGCTGCAAGCATATTTTCCATTAGAGCCTGGTTTTCGAGGAATGGACAATGTTTTATGATATTACACTCCATTCACTGTACTTCAGGAAATGTACAGCTCCATTTTTCTGGATTTTCTAGCCATTTGTAGAAAATTGCTTTTTGACAGTATTTCATTCATTGTTTAAAGCTACTTACTTTATGGTTACTTTAATAAAACTAATAAAGGAATTCTTATTCTAATTATTTAAAATTGTTGCCAAGTGCAACAAACAGAATTATAAATAATAAACAGTTAGAAATCCAAAAAATTTAAAACATATTATCATTACAGTTCTTTATAACACATCTGCATGTGAGCAAAAAGTGATGCTGTATGCTAATGAAAATTAGAAGAGATACTGGAAACATGAGGTAAAAATACTTTGTATGAACATTTATTTTGGGTTTTTGTAATTATTCTGAGATTTTTATTTTGTCCGTTTCGGATAATTTCTCATATTGTAAGTTATCATACAATATTTTTTCCATGACATGATCAAATATTTCAGTACAAGACTTTTAAAAATTGTGAAATTATTATTTATTAATTATTATTCTTAAGAATAAACCACAACAATTCAAACCAATAAAATTTATTGGTCTAACAATAAAAAAACTAATAAATTTCAAGTATAAAAATCTTATAAATTTACATTCCAATTCCAATTATTCCTTTCTTGTTCACATTTTACAAAATTTTATAGATAATACTATACAATAATAAACACATTCAACATATTAAACATCAAAATCGAAAATAACGATTTTGATATTCACTTACATAAAAAAAATCCAGTGCACGTCCCAATAACAAAAGGCAACCTTTAGTAAAATTTAAATATTACAACATCGACGAGTACCATAAGAGGGAATGCTTACAAAGAATACAAAAATATGACTAACAGTTAAAAACAATGTTAGACATTTGAAGAATGAAAACAATTTGTTTATTTTTATGGATTTTTCAAAATTTAACTTTATCAGATAATAAATAACATTTGAAGGGTTCAAGTGTAAAGATGGTAAGTGCTGTAATGAAAGTTTAAAGAAAATATAAAAATTAAATGTCTTAATTAAGAAGTTTTCTTCTTTGTTTAATTTAATTAGAATAAAGTCCACATTCTAGTTAAAAAGTACATGTACATATAATATTTAAATTGAAATACATTGCTGTTTAGCCATTAGCACATTTGCAACATACTGATGGAAGCTTTTTTGCTGTCTTTTACATCCGAACCCTTCACTTTGCACCAGCCCTTTGAGATGTGCAATTTTCTACTAATTAACAATTTAAGAGAGGAAAATCAGAAAATAGGTACAGGAGACTTCAATGTTTTAAAATGCAATAAAATCTGGATGAATAGACAAAGTGCGTCTCAGATTTCTGATAAATAATTTACATGACAATTTTATCACATATCAAAAGAGATTCATAAAAGCCAAATTGTTTTACAGATGAAGTGGCACAAAATTACTAGGTTTCAGGAATGTTTTAAAGAGAAACTGATTGCGAATATACACTAAATTTATCACGTGTGATGGAATGTTTGTTTTGAAATTACAAGAATTTACAGATTGTGAGTTTTGTTAATAGAACAATACAGTGTAACTTTTTTTAAATGAGCATGTATACAGTCTTAACATTTCTATACATAAATATATACAAAAGTCAGTGTAACATATATTGCTAAGTAGATCCCTTCCAAATTACATTGTTCCTTATAAAAAAAAATTTATTTCTAAAAATATAGATTTTGGCATTTCATTTACAATTTTCATATGCTAATTTTATAGACAATGTATAGAAAAATATAATTTTTGAAACATTCAGAAAATTACAATAAAAATATACTAACTACAACCTTTTAAAAGTGATGATTTCCATAACGAGTGAATTTTTTAGCATTAAAAATGCTATACTATAACAAAAAATGTTCAATTATAAAAATATAATTGTAGTATAATTACAATTCTAATCTCAGAGTTGCATTAACTCTAAGAGATTAGAGTGAAGTCATTGCTGGAGGTCTTGCATAGGCCTTGGGAATGAAACCATACTTTCTTGTTTTTGGAGCATAGGCCCACAACCATCCATCTACCGTCTGATTATTCAGGTCAGCATATACCCAATCGCCTCTCCTCATACTCAGATCGTCCGGCGCCTGAGCTTTATAGTCGTACAGCATGACAAGTTCGCTACCGTGGAAACGTAAATCGTCCGAAGGGGACGCATTTGCATGATGATTGTTATTTCCGGTCACCGAAGAGTGGGTTGTGCTATTTTGACCTGTCGTTTGTGGATTTACGTGATCTATAATTCAAAAATTTAAAGAAAAATATATTAATATCAGCTTGAAATGGAAAAAAAATAAATTTGTCAAGAATCATGTTATTAGTCTAAAAGAAAAGATAATTTATAAAAGCATCATATATAATTAAATTAGAATATAAAAAGATTAATTGACGTTTCAACAAAAATATTGAGGAAAAATAATGCTTTAGTGAATATTTCCCAGTGTTAAAGTTTTTCCGAACAGCATCATTAAGAAATTCAACAATAGTCAATGACCAACAAGGCAAATCATTTCTATTTGTATTTGATAATGATTCAATAGAATGCTATTGATGCATGACAATTTTTTTCTTTATAGTCACTATAATTACTTAATAATTATATTATATAAACAATTACTATAATTTAAGTACAATTTATAATGAAAAATTATGCTAGCTGACAAGTGAGATGCTAATTCACTGCAAACAAATGTGGATAAGTTCAATGTTCCATTTTTAGAGCAACCACATTATGTCAGTTCATAAACTAGCATAAAATTGAAGCACATTGTTATGTAAGGAATTTAAAGTTCAGAAAGAAGAATGTCATCTGAGCAACTGAACAATACAATTTCCAGAAATATAAAAACATAAATATTTTAAAATCAGACTATCTTGGCAATTCATCTGCATGGCAAGTAGGAGTTGTGGGTTCAAATCCCACTCCAGATCAATCTTCTAGAATACTCTAAATTAATGAATTCAATTCTAATTATTAAATTTAATACAAAATGGTGATTTATTGCCTACCTTTAGTCCAAATTAAATATATATTTAATTAGCCATATTGTGACCCTATGAATCTGGAATTATCATTTGATATTTGATTAAATTAATCTTTCCTTAACCAAATTCTAAGTACTGAAGACTTCATGACAGCAAACTATATTTGAATACAAAACAACAATGATTTTGCAATTTCATTTAACACAATACAAAATATATTTATCATTGATTTAGGGAATTTGTTTTGATTTTCTGATATGCAATGGAATATTTCTTAAACAGAAACAACTAGATGCTTACCATGTATACATACTGAAAATTTGAACATTTCATATCTGATTAAAGAAGCATTTTTTGTCAGTTAATAGAGGAAAAAAGTTATATTTATGCCTCAAAATCTCAAACATTCTAATAAAATGACACTAGTTACATTCCAAATACTTTTCCAGATATTTTCAAAAGGTATCCTACTCAACATTTTTAAGCTTCAAGTCTACTTCACTTAGCAGACAACAGGAAATTACCTTGTAATTTTTTATTATAAATTTTAGTTTTTCCCAACAAATATCCTTATTGCTATATGTTATTTGCTGTATCATACTGTAAAAATAATATTTATGATACAGCATGTACTACGCATTACTGCATAATAAGTTCATATAGTTAACAAACAGTTGCATTACAACTATTAGGCAATCAGGAAGAAGTATTTTAAGTATATTACATCCTAACATAATTTCTTACTTATATAACATTTTTTTATTCATTAATGATTCTGAGTTGATGCTATGATACATTTAATTTAATAGAAAATTGGCTCCTTAATACTTCATACACATTTGATTTTTACAGATAGATATTGACAAAGCTAGGGATGCCTTTATTTGGTATTAATGAGAATATACATAATCTTAGAATTAAAAATATATAAAAACTACTGTAAACTGAAAGCTTTTTTCATCTCTAGACCAAAAATTATACATTTTTCAAAGAGCCTTAATAAATTTTGCATGTGAAGTTTATCTCAATTATACGTAATTAACTCAAAGATAAATTCTTTTAATGATCAATATGTAATTAACATTTACATGTTCAAGATGTAACTTCACAACAACAAATATCTGTATAAACAATCCTTCAGAAATATTTCTAGAAATGAAAAAAAAATTATTAATCAAAAGAATTCTATCAAAGCACAGAAAATATGAACTATTTAAATACACCAAAAATCTGTAGAATAATTTAATAAAATATTCTAATATCTAGTGAAAAAAAATACTGATTTAGCTATAAAAATTATTTGAATATTGTAATAACAATTTCATTTCTTTAGATAATTTAATGATTAAAGTTTTCAAATCAAAGTTTGTATAAATTACAATAAATCTTTCTAAAAATTACTTTATCAATAATCTTATTAGAATTGAATCTTGTTTTAATTTTCTTGTTACATAATTTTAAAGAAGAAACAAAGATAGGAAAATCATCACAGAAACACATCATTAATCATTAACAGATATATAACCTGTTCTATTATATTACCTAAAATTTTTAAATTATAGATTATCTTAGAAAGGTTTTTATATAAATTAGTTTATAAATTTAAAAAATTATATTTAGCTTATTTATCAATATTTCTATTTGTACTTTGTATAAACTTTTAAGTACAAAAGATTGATGATAATGATAATGACGATAAATGCCCGAAGCATTTTATACAAGTTTTGGAATAATTAAACACTTCAAGTTCTTATCTAATCCAGCAGTCAAAATATAAACAAGTTTTGCTTGAAAATGTATCAAATATTCTTTTAAGTTACAAAAAGGAAAAAAAAAAACTAAAATTCCTAACATCGTTGCCAGCTAAGGTCACTGAATATTTTAAAAAAAAAACAAACTGTATTTTAGATGGTCAATTATTTTTTTTTATTGAAGATTTAAGATTAGATCTTAAAATAGAATAACGAATTAATAATACAAGGAAGAATGGCAGTACCTGCACAGATACAACAGATGATAATTCATATTCAAGTTTATAGAAATTAAGTATCTGATAAGGAATAACTGATACTTAAATTGATAACAGTAATTTTTCAATTTATTATAAGACCTAATTTAATTTAACGACATAAACAATCAGAGAATAAAAAGCAAAGCACTCTGCAATATGTATTAATTAAATTCAATATTAGTTAAATACAAATTAACTAGATCAGTTAAAACATTTCAGAAAAATATGGGAGATTTACAAAATAATTGTTAACATTTTATTTTGGCAAATTATTTTGAGTACCTTCAAACTAGTCTTATAGTGTATGCTTATTAATTCTTAAAAGGTAAGCAAGTTACCTTTATAAGAAATACCTATCACTGTGGTATTTTTATTTTTATCATTAATCTCTCCTTGTCCCTCTGAATAGGTTGGACTTATTGTTCAGCCTTTCAGTCAATTACACCAAGCAAATCTTATCTATCACTCATCTTTCCCAATAATTAATTGAACAGTTTTTAATGTATTCATTTTATTTTAATATTAAATATTAATTTTTAAAAATCTCTTCCAATACTTTCTTCTTATAATAAGGATGAACTAGCCATTAATTAATTTGCTGAATCAATCAATGTATCTTTAACAATGGGCAATTTGAAGAAATGCAAACATTTTTGATTCGATTAATGAGCCATCCTTAGGCATGGAGAGATAAAAGTGAAATTCAAAAAGATTCCACTTTCATCTGTCCATGTCCATAAATGGCCTCTTAACCAGGTTCAAATGTTAGCTTTAAGCTTGTATTTAAAATATTTAAGAAAATATATATTGCTGAATTAATCAATGCAGTGATTTTGAAGAATGCTATCATTTCTACAGCATGTATCTTTATTAATTTCTTCTGATCAAATCTACTGTTATTACAGTTTTAAATATATTATTCTACATTAATCATAAAAACTAAACTTTTAATCTCAACATTATTTTCTTGATTTAAAATATCAACAAAGTAATTGATATTCTATTGATTAAACAAGTAGATTTAATTGATTATTTTTGTTTTTGAATTGTATACATTTAATAAATTTATTCTCTTTAAATTCATATTTTAATACTCTTCATATAATTTATTGAAATTATGAAGAGTAATTATGAAAGGAATGATTTTGACTTTCTATAAATTCTTAACATTATTTTTATAGCACTGTTACTTATTAAAGGATTTTAATTTATATTTTTAATAAAAGTTATCAAGTTGTTTCCTCTATATAATAAAAAATTTTATCACTGTACTACTAAAAAAATTGATTTCTTAAGTATTACACCTAAATAAAATACAGGTATACCTCACTTTCGTTGGTAATTGGTTCCAGGAGAAGCAACTTAAGTTGAAAAACGGCGCAAGTCAAATTTACTTGTCACTAGGCTAAACCACAAATAACCATTCCCAGTTTTGTATTTTATTTATAAATGAATTTTTAATAATATATGGTTAATAAGAATCTATTTTAAGCTTACAAACAAATAAATTTTAGTTTTTAATATAGTACAGAAAAAAGTAATCTAAATTTACAAATTCATGTACATACTTGTAAATTTACATATTTGCAATTAGGCAATGTTTACAGTACATCGCAGACTCTTTACTTGTGAATGTGGTTTACTCTAAGACATTATAAAATAAGATGATTTTGTAAGGTTAAATAACAAATACAGTTATTAAAATTATCTTACAACAGTAAAAAATAAGCTAATTTATATTAAATTTACCAATATTGAGTGGCGCTAATGATGACACCAAACGGTAGATATTGGAACTACCGTGGAAAACACCAATATTGAGCACTTAAAGACCGCTAAATAAGACAACAACACAGAAACATAGATGTTTTCATGTTTCCTTCTCTAGGATTAATGATGATTATATTAACATTTACTGTAAATGTATATATTTTAATATGATTTTATGTGCCATAACACTTTTATAGTGATATTACGACTTCAATATTTGTGGCGGATGGATGTAAAGTTGAATAAAATGACTTAAACTTGATTTTTATTTTTCCATATATTTTTTGACAAACGACGTATAATCGAGAATGACGTAACTTGAGGTATACCTGTATAAGTGTTTTAATACATTTTTCCAATTGCTTATACAGTAAACTCCATATTTAAAATTAAAACAAATAAGAAAAGTCATTTATCAATTTCAACTTTATCCAACTAATTATAAGTAATTATTTATCTCTAAGTCTCAG